TGTGTGTGTGTGTGTGTGTGTGTGTGTGTTGTATGATAAGCACCTAACTATTTTTTTATTGCACATATGTATTTACATGTTATATGATCCATCTAACTTTAATTATTAATTAGAATATTAGTTTTATTATATAATTCACAGATATAATTAAATAAATATATGTACAATAAGTTGAGAATGGACAAAATTATTCATGTTAATTGATTTTAACTCATTATTTTAAACACGTAAATTAAAAAAAAAGTAAAAATCTAGAATTACTATTAAGTTTTTTAAAATAAAAATATAAATATATTCAAATTTAACGAAAAATTATTAAATTATGAATTTTGATAATAAGAAACTTTATATAGGTACACATGAATATCATGCATTAAATTGGTCGATATCTTATCACAATATTTATTTCTTTCCTTTTAAAATAATAAACCATTTGATTAATTTTTAACAAATCAATATTTGAAAGTTTTAGTCCTACCTAGCGCACGGGTTTATGCTTATTGTAATATCGCATTAACAACCATTCAAATTTAAATTGTACATCTTATAATATCTTAAAATATTTATAATATAATTCGTCGTGTTTTGATTCTTATACGAATAAGTGTAAACAAATTTTTCGTGTTGAACACGTTGTAAGAGTATATTAGTTTGTTAGAAATATCAAAATATTTGCATATAATAAAATTGGGTGGTTAAATTAAAAAAAAAAAATAATTTTAATACATAATATATGACAATAAACTTTAGAATAAAATAATAGTTGACTATTATAATGACTAAAAATAGGGTGATTTTATTTTGGTGTGAAATGTTCGAATTTAAATGGTTTGAATTTCATTTGGTATAGATAAAAGTGTATTTGGAAATTTAATTTGAAAATACAACAAGTGGTATGAATTTTATTTAGTATGTGTGTGAAAGTCGAATTTTAGGCTGATTTGTTATAAAATCAAGGTGATCTGATTTTCAGTTTTAACATATTTCCATAATAGCCAGCCATAAGATATTGATGATAATCGGCAAATTGGTATGTATTCCTCTTGAAAATTATAAAGATCTTTGAATAAATATTTTTTAATAAAATTTAAAATTTTTTATTTCATTCTAGAGAATTAGGTGATTAATTTGAATGACAAGATTACCAACAAAAAATCTAGAAAATTTTGAGATTGGTAAAATATAAATATATATAAAATATATAACAAGAGGGTTCCAAATTTAAAATATAAATAAGTAATTATTCATAACTTACGGGTCAATATTAACTTGGACGTAAATGGAATAATCAATTATTATATTTTATTTTATAAATAACTCAACTACTTTAATTTATTGATTTGGATAGTTTATACAAAAATAAATTTATTTTAATTAATGAAACAATATAAATTTAAATATTATACTTATTTCTCACATAGATTGTTAAACATATGAAAAAATTTTACCAAATAATATTTTTATGGACCACATTGTATTTAAGTTGAATTTATGAATAAAAAATTTAAAGCAACATTTATTTTGAAATGATTATAATGTAATTTATTATCACTTATGTCCATAGTATGGGTTGTGTACTAACTTTAAACAAACATGTTTTATGTAATTTTGCACAATTTAATTGATATAACATTTCAAATAAATTAATATAGGTAAATTATATAACATATTTATTTTATATTTTTAATATATATATATATATATATATTATTTAATAAGCATTTTTAATTTACAAATATTAATAAAATATCTTACTCGTGCATCGCACTGGATTCGTACTAGTTTTATAATACAACATATTGCACTTTATAAAACATCACGTTGTACCTTATAATACAACATGTTTTACTTTATAATACAACATATTGTTTATAAAACAACTTGGTACTCTTTATCATCACACTCCACAAATAACGTCAATACCTTACAACATAAATCTAAAAAAATAGATAGCTCCTACCAAAATACAACACAACATAAATCTAAAAAAAAAAAAGAGATACATATATTTTAGCATCCATCATATCATATTCCACAAAAAAATAAAAAATAAATAAAAAAATAAAATACCACAAGCATGCTAACATATTAAAATTTCGATAGTACACTTTATATATCGACATGTTCCACAATATAAAACAACATATTGCACTTTTTAAAATAGGACGCTGCACTTTATCGCGACTAGCAGATTGCACAATAGATAGCAAAAGCAAAACCGACCAAATTAGAGTTTTCTACTCAAAATATTATATTACGGTTCGATAAATTATTTTTATTTTTAAAATCACAATTATTTCAGTTCAATGTCGGATTTATTTTCTACAACTAATCAATATAACCAAAATTACCGAACTATATAAAACTTATTATATATATATATATTTATGTATTACGAGTGCACCTTATGGTTATACAAGTTGCACATTAATGACTAGTCGATTGCGTAATATCAAATGAAAACAACATAATTAAAATTTTCGGTTTAATTTTTTTCTTTTAATAATACTTTAATTCGATTCGATGTTGATTTTTTATTAATTAAAATAATCGAACTAACCAATTGTACAAAGTATATGAACATTATTATTATTTTCATTTTTATATAAAAATATAGTTTGTTTCAACAATTAAAATATAAAAGTATGAAAATAATAATCATATTTTGATTAATTACAAACATGACCCGTGAACCAAATTGTAATATATTAAAAATAATACAATTTTCCTTCAGTCCCTAGAAATTTGTTAAATCACCAACTTGCCACATGTACTAAATTGAAATACATTAAAACCTAAAAAGAAATTGTAATTTGACCCCTTAAACATATCAAATTTTCAACCTAATGCCCCACAATCCAAAAATTAATCTGTAGGAAAATCTCAGCCAACAAATCGATTCTCCTCCGGACGGCGGCGTTCTCAAATTCCATTCTCTAAATCGCCGCATTCGCCGGAGATTATCTTGTTCTGGACGCCTTTTGTGGCGCGGAGAGCGGCGGGAGTGGGCTGAAGTGCGGTGGCCGTCAAGGATGGTAACAGATAACTCGACGGTCATCGGAGATATTTCGAGTGGGTATACCTATCTGTGGCACAGCAAACGGCAATGGAAGTTTGAGGCGCGACGGGAGTCGGGGCTGGTGATGGTGGCGGGGCCAACAGCGGGCGACCTTGTCAGCAGAGCTCGCGGAACAAGGAGGATCTCAATGGGTTATAGACTGTTGCTGCTGCGCCGG